TGATACTCCTGAGTCAGCTGACGATACCGAAGCTCCGCCTCCTCACGCACACACACCTGAAAGACACAAAACCAGTGAGAAACCAGTGTGTGTGTGTGTGTGTGTGTGTGTGTGTGTGTGTGTGTGTGTGTGTGTCTGTGTTGTGTACCTCCTCTGGTTCTGTATCCGGAGTCCTGTCGGTGTGAAACGACAAAGATGATCCATCAGAGTCCACAGACGCCTCTTCATCGTAGCCGTAGAACGTCTCAATGACCTGCACACAGTACGGGTAACTGAGTACTGAGGTAACTGAGTACTGAGGTAACTGAGTACTGAGGTAGCTGAGTACTGAGGTAACTGAGTGCTGAGGTAATGGAGTACAGAGGTAGTGGAGTATTGAGGTAACTGAATACTGAGGTAACGGAGTACTCAGGACTGTATCTAAGTACACAGATTTGCAACTGAGTGTGCAGGGCTGTAAGTGAGTACATAGGTGAGTAATACTCTGCTACTGTAGTACTAGTAACAGTACCAAAGAAGTAATTGCAGTAGTAGTAGTTTAATAATAATTATAGCAGTGGAAGTATTTGTACAGTGTTAAAGGTTGGCAGGTTGTCTGTGATGCGTTTCCTACGTAGTACTACCAGTATCTGTCATAGTAATGGGAGCAATACTGTGAGTATTGAGGTAGGGGCAGCTGACTGGCCTCACCCTGCAGGCTCTGAAGGTCCGTTTCCTCCTCACTGAGTCCTGACGTCGGTAGCGCAGTAACATGTCCCTCTCCTGAGGACAAATACACAAAGTACTTCATTTACCGTCTTCATGCAGTACTTCCTGTCTTTTAGCTCAGTTTTGGTCTCCACCAGTAGGCTAACAGTCACTGTACTTTAATCACATGACTCGTCTGTAACACACACACTGAGTACTAACAACTGTGGTAGGACTGAGAGTAGTACTACTCAATACTTACAATAACATTCTTCACATAACCAGCTGTCTCCAGAGCCTGAAAACACAGAGTTTTGTTCAGATAGAATGCAGTACTAAAATGTAGTCATAGTAGTATTTACAGTAGTAGTAGTATTTACAGTAGTA